ATTACTAGAATGTTTGCTGGTTTCTGTTTGATTGTGCATACGACTTGGGGTGGTAGTACCCCCCCCCCCCCCCCCCCGGGAAAATTAACAAAGAAAAAAAATACCTGCCATTACAATACTGTAAAATTCCGAGTATAGGCCCAGTTCCCTATATTTTTCAAAGGGCCTTTTGAGGGGGGTTATATTTGCAAGGGGCCTACATTCGGAGGGGCTTATAAAGAGATTGGAGGGCTTTAAGCCTTAGCACTAGATTTGTGCTAGCATTTTCATATTTTCAACTTCAAATACAGCAACATAGCTTTTTTTTAAATACGACGTCAAACCAGTCATAACAAACCTTATTTATTTACCCAATTTGAGGGTTTACACTATGATAGTTTCAACTAGTAAATGGGCCATTATTCAATATTCAGTGTTCAGCATTCAACGTTTTCTGAAATGGCTATATAGTTTTATACATGGGCCCGGTTGTACGAAGGGCGGATAGTGCTATCTGATGGATAAATCTTATCCAGCAGATCACCAGATAAATCTATTGGATAACAGCATCAACTGAGGACAGGTATCCACTGGATAAGATTTATCCATCGGATAGCGTTATCCACCCTTCGTAAAACAGGGTCATGCTGAATAAAGTCAAGCTACAGTTGTGATCGAGTCTTACCAGATCTCTGTGAAGAACCCAGTTGGAGTGTAAATAATGAATACCATCTAGAATTTGATATAAGAGTGACTTAAACATGCTTTTGGGGACAGGAACTGTCTTTTTCTGGGCTTTGGATGCTCTATGGAATTTGATGATGTGCTAGGGGAAAAAAACAATTTAATATTAAGAATACTTTATACTTTATATAATAGATTTTCACGAGCGTGCTAAAAACTACCCAAGAAGAAGTTAAAAAGCATTACCCTAGGTAGTATCTGGTCCATAGTTCTATATTTGCCTGACAATATTCTTGGAAATACTGTCCACCATTTTGTGCCAAAGGCTCTCTTCTCTGCTACCCCCTCGGCAGATTTTTGTCATTTACAGATTTTGTCATTTKACTCTCTTGGGAATGCTTGCAGTCCATCAATAAACATGCAATAATGAAGAGATAGGAAACAAGCGTGCGTGCTATGTTGAGTTATACAAGCATGCGGGAAATTGCATTAGTCCGAGCAATGTGCTAGGAGAACACGAGCCATAGGCAAGTGCTTCTCGGCACTTCTCTAGGGCTCATGCAATTTCCCAAGTGCTTGTATAACTCAACATAGCACAAGCAAGGGGAGTTTTCTATCTCTTTTATAAAATAACTAAGATATAACTAACTATTAACTCAAAATAAACAATAAAACATCCCTTGTGTTGCTGACATCATATCCTCACGATCTATGTTGAGTTATATAAAACGGTAATTGACCAATCAGAACGCGCATTATATCTTGGTTATTTTATAATAATCAATAACAAGCACTCACCCATAAATCATGTTCAGCAAAGTCAAACAATAACCAAACTTTTCTGTCGGCATGTGAAAGGAATACTCTTTGTAGTGAAATAACATTGGGGTGCTTTAACTCTCGTAACAACTACAGAAAAAACAATATTAGTTTTAATTCATACATATGAGCTTATTACATTAGTGACGTTACATAATAAACTATTGTTGACATAAAATAAAACACAAAACAACTACAATCCCTACCGCAATTTCTCTACATGCTGACATAGATATTCCCGTCCCCTCGATCTGCTTAAGAGCATATTCTCTGCCATTACCACTTCCACTGTAGAAATAGCAAAAAATGTTAAAAATGAAGCTTCACTATTTAACTGCTATACGATTTGTTGATGAATCTAACCTGTCTTTATGCTTCGCTTTGTAAACGTGTCCATACGTTCCTCGGCCGACTTTACAGCCGTCAAACTCGAAAATGTCTTCTACTCGTTCTCTGAGTTCGTTAAGCTTTAGTTTGAATTCATAATCCATCGTTTTTAAGGAGAAATTAAAGCAGTTGAAAAATCTTGTTATCAATCTGCGCGCCGTCGTCCGCCATTACTGGAGGAGTGCGCGTGCTCGAAGGTATAGGCTGCTGGTATGAGGATACTGCAGGCTCAGGCTGGAAAAGTGGAAATATCCATCAATTTTTCTTTCTTTCTTTCTTTCTTTCTTTCTTTCTTTCTTTCTTTCTTTCTTTCTTTCTTTCTTTCTTTCTTTCTTTCTTTCTTTCTTTCTTT